TGTGAACACCACAGCCCAGGGGCCAGCCTCATAGAGGAGGGGGTGGTGAGGGCAGGTGAAGAGCCAGCAAGCTAGCTTTGGGATGTTTAACAAGCCCATGTAAACGGGCTGAAGGAGCCTAGAGGCCAGCATGGACTTTGATCATCTGATAGGTGCCATAGTTGTCAATAGACAGCCGTGTGTTCCTTCTGCCACAGGCCTTTTGGTGGACCAGTTCCTAAGGAATGCTGGCTTCTCCTAAATGCCAGAAATCCTTCTAGAGCAGCTGTTCTCAACTTTCCTAAGGCACCCTTTAGTACAGTTCCTCATGTTGTGGTGACCCCAACCATACAATTATTTCCGTTGCTACTTCATATTATATTATTGCTATTATGTAATACATATAATTATATGTATATAAAAATATAATATTGCTATTATTATAAATTGTAAATATCTGATATACAGGATGGTCTTAGACAACCCCTGTGAAAGGATTGTTCCACCCCCAAAGGGGTCGCAACCCAAAGGTTGAGAGCCGCTGTCTAAAGTCCACCTTGAGCTGAGCCTAGTCTCAATTTTAGACCAAGTCAGTAACAATAGGTCTGCCCTTTTGGGAGGAAATATGGGGTATTCTTTGGGCCTGACACATTCCATTCTTCGCTCCTTTATTTTTTATTTTTTTAAAGACAGGATCTCATATGCCAGGTCAGCCAAAGACTGCCCTGCCCAGCAGGGCACAATGGGGGTCGAGCTCACGGGAACCTGGAATGACGGAACAAGAGACAAGAGCAGGTGGCAGCAAGACAACATGGCCGATCAAGCTGCGTTTAATGAGAATTCTGTGCAGGCTTAAATAGGGGAAATGAGGGAGGGGTCATTGCCTGGTAATCGCCGAGGAGTGTTCTTGGTCACACCCGGTTAGGGGTGTGTTTGAGGGGTGTTGATAGTCTCAGACCACCACCAAGGCTGAGCAGCAGGAATGAAGATAAGAGGTGTTAGCAGGGTAGAGGACCGGGTGAGTTGCTAAATAACCTAACTGTAGGGAGGAGAGTTATGAAGTAATCTAACTGTAGATTGCTATCAGCTATTCCTGTGAGCCCAGGTTCTTCTGTCAGGAGGTCCCTCAGCTACCTCAGGATATTCTTTCTCTAAGCTCTCTTCCTGTGGGGGAAGGCTGGATGGGCTGTTCGCAGCCTTTAAAGTTTATACAACGATTGCTCCCGGCAAAAGATGACGTTGAGTTTCTCATCTTCCTACCTCTAACTCCCAAATGCTAGAAGTAGAGGCATGTGCAACCATGCCTGGTTTGTGTGGTGCTGGGAATGAAATCCTGAATTTCATGGATGCTGAGTCAGCACTCTGTCAAGTGAACTACTTCTGCAGCCCAGCCCCCTGTGTGGGAGCATCATCTGTAGTGTCCCTGATGGTCCAGGAAGCACAGCGGAATCAGAGCTTTCTTTCCTTGTCCTGGGTGAGCCCCTGCCTAGGTCTCCTACGGTTGCCTGGACCCTGGATACTGCAAGGGACCCACGGCTCAGGGAGGTGACGTGTCCTGTGGCATGTGTCCTGTACACAGCCTTGCTGGGAAGAGGCACTGAAGTGGGCTGGGGGACTCTGGGACACCTTAGTCCCTGTCTAAGTAGAGCAGAAGGCAATAGGAAGGGAACTTGTCTTGACTGCACCAGAAGCAAGTGTGATCACGGCATGGGAATTGTGTGCTCTGATGTTCGCTCTTGAGAGCTGGGGGACGATGATGACGACGACACAATACTAAAAAGAGGGCCAGTCGTGGTCAAAGCTGCTTCCTGGCCACATGTATTACTGAGCTTGGAGACGGGAGTGAGAGGGCCACTGTGTCCTCCATGACCTTAGAGAGTGTCCCATTTGAACGAAAAGAAATAAGGAAGGAAGGAAGGAAGGAAGGACAGACATACCTGCTTCTAGGTATGGTAGAGGAGGAGGTTTATTGTGGATACAAGGAAGAGCATGAAGGGACCTCTGGGAGAGTCCAGAGTGGATATGTACTGAGCTGGACCGTGAGGGGAGAGAAACCACTGACCATAGGAGCAGCCTGGCCTAAGAGACTGGCCAAGAGAGTAAATGGCAGACTAGAAAGGGGTGGGAACCAAAATGGCTGGATTATATAGGGGAGGGCTGGTGGGGGAAGGGCGGCCCAGCCCCTGGGCTGGAGAAGCTTGGGGTAGGGTGGGGTATGCTACACAGGAGGACCCTGTAGAGACTGAGGGATGCTGGGAGAACCCAGCAGCCTAGTCCACTTTGATATATTAAATAGCGCCTCAGCCTTAGGGACCTAACACCAATGTCCTTTCTTTCCCAGGCCCTTCACAGATGCCCGATAAAAAACACCTTTATCACTGTGGCCTGTGGAGGCCTGTCTCTCAGGCAGGACCCTAGACACACATCATTCTCTCTGAGGCCAGATGGCTTTTTCCCCTGAGGCCAGATGGGTTTTGTTTTAAGCCTGGTCTACAGAACAAGTTCCAGGACAGCAAAGCTCTGGAGAGAAACCCTGTCTTGAAAAGAAAGCAGGAGGGAGGGAGGAGGGAGGGAGACTCAGCAAGGCTTAGAGCCTCCAGCTAACCTGGGACTTTGTCTTATGACTCCTCGGGCCACATGTCATAGGTCAGGGGTTCACCCCATCCTAGCATGGCTTGTCTGGTGGCCTGGAAACCCGTGCAGACTCGCCTCTAGACACTGATGGGGTCACCCTTCTCCCCCACATCCCACCTTGCAAGGGCCTCCCCTGTGTCCACTCTACAGCCCTAGCTCAGCTCCTCAGATTCCATGTTCCTGTTTCTCCTAGGTGTGTCACCAAGAGACCCTGCTTGGTTATTGAATGGGGCCTTTTGTGTTTCCTTGCATCTTATGAGGATCCCTGGATAGGGTGTAAGTTGTGTCTGCAGAGGCCAGGAAAGGGGAACTGGTGAGGTACCATGGATAGCCAGCCTGAGTGGGGACCCTGTCTGAGTCACCATCAGAACATCTGACCCTCCATTGGCTCAGCACAGGTTTTCTGTGAGCCATTCTGTTGGCACTCAGCCCAGGGGTGGGATGGATCGCCGGAGTTCAGTGTGGGCTGTATCGGACTATTCCCTGGACACTGTCCTGGCTCATAGTCAGGCAAGGAAACAGATGGAGGTACAGCCATTAAGGGTGCAGCAGCACTCAGGTTGGAAAACAGTGCTTGGAACTGGTGCCAAGCTCTGCCTCTGCCAGCCTGTGTCTCTGCTCGGTCTCGTTGTCTGCAATGAATGACTGAAAGCCCTGACAATAGGAAGGGCTTAATGCGGCAGATAACACACTACCTGGAAAAACGTCCTGCCCTAGGGAAGGAAGCCTGGGGACAGGGGGGTGGCAATGGGACATGCCAAGCTCTTCTGACAAGGGCCGGGACTTGGGGTGCAGCCACAGGCCCACCCAGGGGGGCTGGGAGCATTTGAGTCTGAGGTCACATGGGTATTGAGCTGTGGCCAACTTGGCCCAGGATATGACTTCTATTCCTGGGTCTTCAGCTTGGACACCAAATATGGTGTGGCCTGAGTCTAGCACCTCCAACTGTGGTCAGACACATCCTACCCCACCTCAGGCCTGGGTTCTACCCTGTACCATGGCACAGTCAGGGCATCCCAGGACTTGGGGCCCCAAATAGGCAGAGGTGCACTCTGCTGATGTCTGGTGTGGGGACACCAGACTTTGAGCAGAAACCCACTTCCCCTTCAGCCTGGGAGCAGGCAGCTGTGAGATACTGTTTACTGAAAACAATTCAGTGCTATAAAGCTCTTGATAGGGCTCAGATAAGGGCTTGCTCACTGAAATACCATGACTTTGACACCCCCTACGGCTAGATGCTTCTTCCTGTCCCCCCCCTGCTGTGTCTCCGGATTCTGGGGCCTGGAGATTAAACCACCAGCCAGGAGGGTGAGAAGTCTGGAAAGAATTGTATGTAGATGGATGGCAGAAGTCCTTAAAAAGGGAAGCATTTTTTCTTGGGAGTTTTCCTAAGCTGACTTGGGAAGCATAAAGTTTTATTAAAGCAACCGACCTGTCTCTGTGTCATCTATCCCGACCACCTCGCTACATTCTCGGATGCAGGCCGCACAGCAGGTGCGACAGTCTGGTGACCCACATTCAGGTAGATGTCTGTCTGTCTCCCACTGGGTTAAAAATGCTTATGACCGAAGGGTGGTGGTAGCAAATGCCTCGAATCCCAGCACTCAGGAGGCAGAGGCAGGTGGATCTGAGTTCAAGGCCAGCCTGGTCTACAGAGTGAGTTCAGGACAGCCAGGGCCACACAGAGAAACTGTCTTGAAAAACCAAAACCAAAAAGAAAAAAAAGTGCTTATGACTAAAATAGCCTCACTCCTCAAAGGAGGAGAGCACAGCTGTGCTATTCTGGGGTCTGTCTCAGCTCCCTCCCATGCACAACCCTGGCTAGAGTCAAGGAGCTCACTGGCCTTGGCTCCAGCCTTGCTCACTCACTGGTGCCCGTCTGCTCTGCCTCTCATCTGCCAGCTCACTGATTCCCTCACTATCAAGAGCTGGGCAGGTTCTAGATGCTAAACAAATGCAAAGAGTGAGTTCCAGCATGGCTGGGGCTGTACAGAGAAACCCTGTCTCAAAAAACGTGTGTGTACGTGCGTGTGTACGTGCGTGTGTGTCCAGGCTGGCCTGGAACTTGTGACCCTCCAGTGCTGGGATTCAGTCTTTGACTCTCGTTTGCTGAGAGGTAGCTGGTTGATTTCCTCGGTGCTTCCCACAGTCCCCTACAGACTGTGGTGCTGATGACGGTGAGCATTCCCACTGGCTAACAACTACTCCATTCAACCCACCCTTCCTTCCTCTCCCTGGTGCCATTTCACCCAGGGAGTTCTAGTCGATTGTATTGTCCCTCTGTCTCCAGACGGTCCTCCCACAGGGCTGCACTCTGAAAGCCAAAGTGATGAGCTGCTGACGGCCTACAACTCTCTCACGATTTCTGTCCTCCATCTTTTGCAGGTGGGCTGGCAGACCGGGTCATGAGAGGATACACCATGTCCCTGTTGGCACAGAGGATGGTCTCCTAACCCAGTACGCACATTCAGGATGCCTGCAGGCGGCTAGGACTCCATGTCCTCACCATGGGCTGCCCAGGCTGGTCAGTAGCCCTTTAACCCGGAGAGAGCCCAAACCCCACCTCTCCCCTGTGGGATGGCTATTCCAAGTGTCCTGGAAGGGACTCAAAGCTCAGGTTCCCACAGCACCTACCTGACTGTGTCTAGTCATTTGGCCTCTGTCCATGCAAGTTTCCGGGTTCCTAATGTCAAAATGATGCAACTGTCCGCTGGAGATGCCAAGGGCCTGAAGGGTGTGAATGCAACCTGGAAGATACAACAGATATGGTGGGACCTGGGGCCAGGGCTGCTGTTGATCTTCTGGTTATAGGGCTGAGTTCCTCCAGTGAACCAGGCGCCATCCTGGCCTCTCACTTCCTTCCCAGACCAGCTCTCTCCAGGAAGAGGTAATGTGGAAGAGTACAGGCCCACACCCCCACCCAGACACTCCTCCCATACACATCCTGCCACTTTCTGCCTGGGGACAGCATGAGGGACATAGCCATCCACCTCCCTGTCCTTAAGGCAGGGGTGAGAATTAACCCTTTCAGGTGCTTGTATGAGTTTGACAGGTTTGCATGTATGAAATGCTGCTATGTTGGTTAGATGATCAATATTTGTTAGAGGAGCAAATGTATGAAGCAGTTGGGCTTGGTGGTGCATAGCTGCAGTCCCAGCTGAGGGGCTGAGGCAGGGGGATCACGAGTCAAAAAGCAGCCTAGTCTATATAGTGAATTCAAGGCCATCCTCACCAATAAAAAGTCTTTTAGATATAGAAGTTCATGTTTTTAATCCCAGTGCCTGGGAGGCAGAGGCAGGCAGATCTCTGAGTTCTAAGACAGCCAGGGATATACAGTGAGACCCTCTCTTTAAAAACTTAAAATTAAAATAAAAAAAAAAAAGGGCAGTAGTGGCACTCACCTTTAAACCCAGCACTCAGGAGGCAGAGGCAGAAAGATCTCTGTGAGTTGGAAAGATGGCTGAGCAGTTAAGAGTACTTGCTGCTCTTACAGAAGACCCAAGTTTGGTCCCTAGCACCCATGTTGGATGGCTCACAACCACCTGTAACTCTAGCTCCAGGTGATCCAACAGGCTCTTTTGATCTCTGCAGGCATCTACACTAGTATACAATGTGCCCCCCCCCAACGCACAATAATTAAACATGAAATAAGTTGAGGCTATAAAGCTGGCTCAGTTACGAGCACTGACTCTCTTCCAGAAGACTCAGGTTTGATTCCCAGCACCTACATGATACCAGCTCACAACCTCCCGTTTCCAGTCCCTGGAGACCCAGTGCCCTCCTCTGGTATCTGAGGACACTTTGTACATGTGGTACTCAGACACACACACAGGAAGAACACAATGTACATGAAGTAAGTAATACACAATAAATAAATCCTTAGGTAAAAGACCACTTGCCCCAACTATTACTCTGTCTGTCCCTCCCCAGTGCTGGGGTTATATGCATGTACTGCTGTTCCTGACTTGCATGGGTTCCCAGGATTTAAACTCAGGTCCTCGTGTTTTTGCCTGAGTCATCTCTGCGAGCCCAGGTCTTCATGCCAAATGCATTTGAGATATTGAGTCTTTGAGTGAGCCAAGGCCTATTCATGGAACTGAGAGGGTCAAGGGATAGGCTACTGCCCCAGTAGGCCAAAAGAGGCAGATTTTGTCAAGGTTAGTGTGACAAAGTGGTTGCTTCTGAATGTCCTTGTATCTGCTAGACTCTGGCTGCACACTGTGGGAGTCACTGGTTCTGGTTCCCAGACATTCACAAGTTTACTACACAAGTCAAAAAGGACCTTGCCCAGGCTCCAGTTCAGTTGTGTTTTACAGGTGAGCAACCAGCTGGCCAGGGTACAGCTCATGCCTCTTAGGTCCCAGAGACCCCCAGCTTTGGCACCTGGTGTTGGCAGGAAATGTGTTTCTTGAGGGTCGGGGGTTCCTGTAGCCAGCCGACCTGAATGCTGGTGCTCGTTTCTTACAGACCAGTCAATCCTCGTGGGCATCTCCTGCTGTGATCTGGGGGAGACCATGTTCAAGCGCCCCAACTGCCTGCTGAGGATGCTCAGGGGCACCCCCAGACAGCGGGTCTTCACTATCTTCATTATCAGCTTCAAATTCACATTCCTTGTCTCCATCATGATCTACTGGCACACTGTGGGTACACCCAATGACCACGAACCACAGAACAGCCTGCCAGTGGACGTCCCCTGCCCCCAGCTGGCCTCACCTGGCATCTTTGTCCCAGGCAACATCTTCTTCCTAGAGACCTCAGACAGGACCAAACCTAGCTTTCTGTTTATGTGTTCCGTGGAGTCGGCTGCCAGGGCACACCCAGAGTCCCGGGTGGTGGTGCTCATGAAAGGGCTGTATAAAGACAAGACAGCCCTGCCTCAGAACCTTGGCATCTCCCTCCTGAGATGCTTCCCCAATGTCCAGATACAACCTCTGGACCTGAAGGAGCTGTTTCAGGACACGCCGCTGGCAGCCTGGTACTTGGAGGTGCGGAGCAGCTGGGAGCCCTATCTGCTGCCAGTGCTGTCTGATGCCTCCAGGATTGCGCTTCTATGGAAGTTCGGTGGCATCTACCTGGACACAGACTTCATTGTCCTCAAGAACCTGAGGAATCTGACCAACACGCTAGGTGTCCAATCCCGGTACGTCCTCAACGGAGCCTTCCTGGCCTTCGAGCGCCACCATGACTTCTTGGAACTGTGCATACGTGACTTTGTGGACCACTACAATGGTTGGATTTGGGGCCACCAGGGCCCCCAACTGCTCACCCGAGTCTTCAAGAAGTGGTGTTCCATCCGCAGCCTGAAGGAGAGCCACACTTGCCGTGGAGTCACTGCTCTGCCCCCTGAGGCCTTCTACCCCATCCCCTGGCAGGACTGGAAGAGATACTTTGAAGACATCAGCCCTGAGGAAATGGCACGGCTACTCAATGCCACCTATGCTGCTCATGTGTGGAACAAGAAAAGTCAGGGTACACACCTAGATTCCACATCCAGGGCTCTGCTGACCCAGCTACATGCCCGCTACTGCCCCACAACACATGAAGTCATGAAGATGTACTTGTGAGGACCCTGCAGGCTGTATCAGCACCGTTACTGCCTTCCCCAGGGAGGCAAGGTGAGCAGGAGGGAAAGAGGGCTCTGAGCTGTTGCTGCTGATTTTAGAAGAGACCGAGGCTGGCCTGGGGAATATGTGCCGCCTCTGTACACCTGCCCCTCCGGGCCAGAGTGAGACTGGTTGATACACTTTGTCCAGTGTTCTGGGCTGTCAAGTGGGTCTAGAATTAGTAGCATCTGGGGCCTTAAGGAGCTAGATCAGCAAGCCTGGAACACTGAAGAGCATTCTAAGGCAAGAAGACAGATGAGGCCAGGAGCAGAACTCAGAGAGGCCTGGGTAGAAATGCTAAGAAGGGTGGGGCTCTCCCAGCTTCATGAGCCCAAGGGGAGGGGCAGAACTCTCTGGGAATCTTTCCTCCCTTGGGGCACCGCTGTGAAGATCTGCCACAGCCCATTCCAGCAAGCAGGGGAAGTAGAAATTCCTGGGGAAAGTGTTTTTTGTTTTGTTGTTTTGGTTTTTCAAGACAGGATTTCTCTGTGTAGCCTTGTTGTCCTGGAATTTGCTCTGTAGACCAGGCTGGCCTTGAACTCACAGAGATCCACCTGTCTCTGCCTCCAAGTGCTGGGATTAAAGGGATGCACTACCACCACCTGGCTGGAAAAAGTGTTTTAAATCACCGCCCCACCTTTGTAGACACTGGAGGCGCTAATAAAAGTGACTTACCAACACCTAATGCCCCATGGTCACATAGCACATTTGTGAACACAGACTTGAGCGTTGCCCATGCACGTGCACGCGCACACGTGCACACACGAGCATACACACACACACACACACACACACACACACACACACACACTGTATCCTATAGATGGGAAAGGGACTGGAGAGTAGCCATTTCATGGGTCACAAAACTCACTTGGAGAGGCTGGGCTCAGAATTGGGTGACTGACTGAGAGGAGCCTGTGGTTTCGCCTCACTTCTCAAAGCTCACAAACAGCTGAAGTGGTGTCCCAGCCTACTCGTCTCCCTTCATAAGCCTCCATCCATTTTAGCCTACATGGGGCTCAATATGAACACCACAGTGTGATGGGACTCCGGCCTTGTCCTAGAAGCCTAGCCAGGCTTATGGGAGCTCCTGGAAGTGCCTTGCTATACAGCCCCCAGGGGCTGAGTCACAGAAACATCTATGCAGTCACAACTGACTCTTTCTTTGGCTGGGCATTCCCATGGGTGATAGGGGGTTGGGAGGTTGCAAGGAGCCCTGGGCCACTCTCCAGCAGTGAAGCAGGGAGACATATTAGCCCTGGGCTCTGCAAACAGGCTTGGACAGCTCAGTAAGGGGCTGAGCTGCCAGGCTCCAAGGGTATTCAAGAGCAGGTGAGGTTTTGATGAAGACAATGAATTTTAAGCCAATTCTCCAGTTGATTCTCCAATCAATCACAGTATCATTTGAAGAGATCTCAGTGGTGGGGGCTGGAGAGATGGCTCATCTGTTAAGAGCCCTTGCTACACTTCCAGGGGACCCAAATTTAGTTCCAAGCACCCAATTTGGGCAGTTCATAACCACCTGTAACTCCAGCTCCAGGGCATCTCCTCCAGCTCATACACACGTGCACATTGACAACAACAGCAAAAGTCTCTACATCATGGCTGGCTGGTGTGGAATTTACTGCAATTCCCATTTCAGTCTCCCAAGAGGTAGGATTGTAGACATGAGCTACTATGCCCAGGTTCACCGATGTTTGAAAATTTCTTTCTGTTTTAGAACTACAGGTTTTAACAATACAAACCCTATATGTAACTGTACATGTTGGAACAAGTGAAATGATTTCCTAGGATTGGGGGTTGTTTAGCCTCATGATCATAATACGGTGAGACCCTAATGGGGTAGCACACAGAAATGAAAGAATCACTCCCTCCCCGTAAGCTCATCCATTGCACCCTGTAGCCTTCAAAACATAGGCTAGCACCCCTAACACTTAGGCTACCACTCAAGACCCTTCATAGCTTGGTCCCGCCTCCTCCTTCATCCACACTAAACTCATATTCTTGGCTCCTTTCCACCTCATAGCAGCATCTTGATACCCAGTGTGCTCCTGCCGTGCTGCCTGCAATACCTCTCCAGCTCTCATTGCTACCCACAATGCACACTGCTTCTTAGGAAGCCTGGGAAGTCATCCCAGTTTTCTTCAGCAAAGGTCTTGAAAATGAGAACTTGCCAAACGCTTCTCAGAGTCATCCCTACGCTTGGACTCAGAATCCGACGTAGCCGGTGAGGGTCTCCCGGGGTTCAGATTCCTGTGGAGCTGAAGGGCCAGAAGGGGCCAGCCATGGTCTACCATTCCCTGGTGCACATCAGTCTGAGACTTACTTGGCCGTATGACTCCTCACCCCACAGCTGCAGCCCTCTCTGAGGGCCTGTGGGCTGGCCTTCCAGATGGATCCAGGAGGGAGCGTTGGCCCCAGACCTTCCTTGAGTCATGCTTAGCTGGGCCGTATCCAAGAGCAGGGAATGGGAAAATGCTCTGAGAATGGGGGCACTGAGCAGAGGTTCGTCTACATTCTCTACCACCCTTCACCCAGCCACTCCACGATGAACCTCTTAATCCAGTTGCCATAAATGCCAATCAAGATACAGCACACCAGAAATAACATCATACCCTGGAGAACAGACAGGGAACAGGGAGGCAGGGCCTGGGTGCCAGGAGCTGACTCATCCCTAAACTGAGAGACTGTGAGGCCCAGTGAGGGGATCCCTGCATCCACCATCACAAGCCTTGTTCATGTACTTCCTGGGCTGGGGAAAGACTTGCTGATGTCCAGCTAAAGAGCCCCTTCGCCAGCCTCTGAGTTGTGGCCAAGTGTGGCTTTTTCCTTTTGTGCAAAGAGCAGCTGAGCAATGCCACTTTCCAGCACAGATGTGACTGACAGAGGAACCATTTGGTGCCTGGCACAGACACACTGTGTGCCCCCAAATCCTTTCTTCTCACCCCCACCTTCTACACTGGGGAGTGGAGTCTAGACCCTTCTGAGTTTAGAGATAGACCCAAGCAGGCTGACAGAGTCTGTGTGACCTGGGAGCTGACATCCTAATCACTTCATCGCACCCACAGACAGAGCCCCGGCAACCCCCCCCACACCTCCCTGCAGGGTCCCTCACCCTCTGCCCCTGCCTGATTCCAGATACCCTGCAAGCATTTCCCCTGCCCTGGGCCAACCCCACAGTGGGTGGACACCCTGGCAACCTTGGGCTGCCTCTTTATGGAGAAGTCAGAACATTCTCTGTGCAGCTGGATACTCTGAAAAAGGAAAAGGGAGGGGTGCCTTGGGTGGAACATGTCCTTGGGACATGAAATCAGATCCTCAGGCCCCTATGCTTTCTCACTGGCTAGTCTGTTTACAGATGTTTTTGTCCAGGGCTGAGGAGGGCAACCCACAGAGGCCCGAGGCAAGCTCTCTGTCAATTACCTAATGAATCTTCCAGGCTAGCCAGCCAGGCACTGGCCAGCAGGGAAGTCTTTCCCAGCAGCTCGGAGCTAGGGGACTAATTTCCCCTGGCTGCTGTATCAACATTCAGCCTCTTGTTTAAATATTAAATTGGACTGCCCTCCATCTGGGGCGGGAGCTGATGCAGAGGTCTTGGACAAGTGCTGCTTACTGGATCGTTCCCTATGGCTTGCTCAGTCGGCCTTCTTACAGAACCCAGGATCTCCTGCCCAGAGGTAGCACTGCCCATATAGATTTGGGCCTTCATTAACTAAGAAAATGCACCACAGACTTGCTCACAGGCCAATCTGGTGGGGGGCTGAAAGCTGCTGTAACCAACAATGGTTTGCAGAAGATTCTGTCTGCCTCATGTTAGTCCCGAGGTCAGAGGTGTCTCAGCCCTTCCCGGGCTGTGGTTTGTCAAGAATTCAGCTACTGCCACTTTCTAGTCAGCCAAACAGGGACCTACTAGTGTCCAAGGCAGATGTCTTCAAGGACATAATCCAGAAGTTGCAGGATTCGCAACTTTTGCTCAAGTCCCATCTGCTTTGACCACATCCGGAGACTAGGCAAAAGAGGAAGGAAGCAAGAGACAGGCAGTGACCAAAGGACTGCTGTTCTCTCAGCTGCTTCCACTGACTGCCTCTGCCATCAAACTGTGAGCTCTTCTAGAGTCTGACCCATCCATGAGCCTCTCATCATCCTACCTGAGCCCCGACATGGGGGAGGGGGCCCATGACTGCTAAATGCATGAGAGAGGCCCAGGTGATTGAATGAATAAGGCAGAGGCCCTGCTGTCATTCAGTGAGTGCCCCTAAGTGGTATTCCTGAGAAATGACCCTCTCAGAGCTTGGGCTTGGTGGGGGTAGGGGTCTTTAGGTCACAGGGGGCATGCCCTCCAAGGGGATTGTGAGACCCAGTCACTTCCTAGTTTGTTCACTGACATGTGGTACGCAGTGTGAGCCCTCCCTTGCCATCCGGCGCTCCACCAGAGGTCTAATACCTACCTAGCCATAGATTGGAACGTCTACAATTCTTTGCCAAAGCAAACCTTCTCTCTGTTTACAAGCTGACTAACCTAGGGCCTTTGTTACAGCCACAGAAAACAAGCTCTTCCAGAGCACACAGGTTCAATTCCTGGCACCCACACAGTAGCTCAAGACTGTCCCTCCAGTTCCAGCTATTCCAACGTCCTCACACAGACATACACGCAGGCAAAGCACCAGTGCACATAAAATAAAAATAAATTTAAAAAATGGAGCATGAAAGCCATTAGAAGGGGCAGAGCCGAAGAACAGGGGGATGACTTGTTCCATGAAGCACTGGCAGGGGGGACGGAGTCCTTGAGCCAGGATTTAGAGCAGCTGCAAGGTGGGAACAATCTAAACTTAACAGGACTGAGGAATCCCTAGGAACCCGTAGAGCATTCTTTAGGGTACACCTGGGAAGTTAGCAACCCAGTCAGCGAGGACCAGGTGGGAAAGAGCTGCCTCAGTGCCACGCATGGTCTAGTCCCTGAGGCTCCCAGTGAGAAGGAACAGGGTTGGGTCACATCTCCACCCCGGCCAGGCCATTGTCTCTCCAGGCTCAGGCTGGGACTGCAAACAGCAGGACTTTCTCCAGTGTCCTGTTTGCAGGCTGCCAGCTTCAGGCTGCAGTGACGCCATCGGCTTCCCTAGTTCTGAGCCTGGTCTCTGGAACAGAAAAGGACATTTCTGTGCCAGTGACAGGGTGTTTCCCTGTAGGGGGTATGGAGGTCTTTGGGCTCACAAACAAGCACTAGGGGAACCAGGAATGTTTAGCACAGAGTTGATCCTTCAAGGGGAGGAATGTAAAACCTATTTTCTGTCCAGAAGTTGGAGCCAGTGTCTGCTCTAGCCTGACCTTTACACCGTATGTGTGACCGGAGCCGGCACCAGGCTCTCCTCCAGCCCTTTCTCATAAACTTGTTTTTCTCAGCCAATCTTAGAACCCATCTTTATGGAAGGTATCACATGTACTTTACAGAGAGTTCTGATGCAATCACGTTTGATCTGTATTGAGTTTACTTTGTTCCTCAAAGAGATTTTGGTGTGTTGTATTGTGCATTCCGGATTGAGTTAATCATCACAAGGACAGTTATCAGCAGATTGTACTGCATTTCAACATGCCTAAAATAAACAGTTAAGAGCCAGGCTCCCCAAGTTTGAACTCACTGGCCACTGAGTTGTGTTGTTTGACCAGTTTTACCATCTGTGGCTTGTG